GCTTTACAGACAAAAATAACAGCTTAAAGAAAATATAATCAAAAAGAAATAGGAATAAAGTTTCCCATATCCCTACCCCGCTTTGTACTCTCAACAGACTTGAAACAACTGCATTAATGCAGCAAGCAATAGCTTGTAAAAGGATGCAAACCAGCTGAAACATTTGACAGACAGTGTTAAATACCAGAGGATTCGTATCAACCACTTTATTTGAAAAGGTGCTTTGATGTTGGCTATCTTTCATGTACCTCTTTCATGGCACATTAATAAGGAAAACTGAGATGGGGTAAATTAAGTCCCAAGGTCATATCTAGAGTTACAGCACTGTGGGTACCTGATGAAATACGGATTAATGCTGCATGAGCACTGAATAAATAAAACCACTTCTGTTAACCACTCAAACAAGTTTTACAAGTAGTTCTGAACTTTATTCGGCAACTAGACTTCAGACATCTTAATCCCCCCACACTGCTTTGAAACCTAATTATCATAATGTGAACCCGAATGTTAGGTCCCTTTCAAACTGCGAGTGCTATGAAGCAGAAAAGTAATGGGAATTAAGCTAGTGTAACATTAGAAATGTAGAGGCATGGAACTTGAAAGTGGCATTTGTTAAAGCTGAGAGAGTATAATGTAGATATTCAACAACATAAAACACACATTTAAATTGAAAAGGATATTTAAAGCTTGTGCAGACACCTATAAAATACAAACGGACCTGAAGTCCTGTAGAACAAACATTTCCAAATCAATTTCTTGCCACCAAGGTCCAACTTCAAAAGGTATTAAACAGTCCTATTCTACCTTAGCAGAACATTTCTAAGTATTCTAAAGCAGACAACTTAAAACATGAAAGAAAACCCAATGAGAACTTTACAAGACATTACAGACTTTCCCCTATTTGTCACAGTACAGAAGTGTTTGAACTTAAGCAGCAGTAAATTATTAATTACATTGCTTATAAAGCCTCAAGAGCAAGAAAAGATTTTGAAGAAAGTTGCAGAAAAGGATTTTGTATCCAGTTTAAAACCAAGTATAACCGATATTAAATGCCAAGACACCTAAAAAACAACAACAAAAAAATACATTTGCCTGGCTGCATTCTTTACTGCTTGTTGGAAACAATTCATAATACCCATCAAACTTCCTTTTAAATATGAGCTGAAACACTTTATTCTGAGTGTAAATTAATGTAACAAGCACATAAGAAAGTCAGGCCCATAAGAACGTTTGTATTGTGACACTGAGGCTGAAAGAAAAATTGTGGGTTCATTTTTACAAATACAACAACTTAGCTGTTCATATAGTCCTTCTCTAGCATAGTTCACCTGTCATTCAGATAGCTTTCGTTTCCGAGATGCTTACAACCGACAGCAATGAAAAGAAAAACAGTTGCAGTGATTGAAATATGGAACAAAATTCTTGAAATATTTTTTCCAAGATTTTAATTTAATCCAAAAAGGCCAATGAAATCCTAAAAGTTCATCATGTGCCATGTTAATGCTGAACACACTGTTGTTTCATTTACATTTCTGGTCCTGTTAAAACAAATACACTTGTCTAAAACAGAACATCTGTTTTAGTTATAATACAATGTATCTTTGGCAAGAACTCACAATAGAACTAACATAAATAATCAAGAATATTTATTGAACCCTGTAACAAAAACTGATTTGTAACAAAAAACCTGAGGACTAGATATGACTGTCTCTGGGCTCTAGTCCAGTCCTAATCTAAGTCAATAAACATGCTCTAAAAGGGAAACTACTCTTAAAAAAAAAAAAAAAAAGAAGTCCTGCAGTTATTTAGGTTGGATGTAGCTATCTGAAAGCATGTTGGTTACAAAAATAGTGAAAAATATTTGCTTTAAATAAAAAAAACTGTCAAACTGAATCCAAACAGGGTTTAACAGGACACAAAAAAATCGTGCCATATGCCTCATTTCCTACTATCTTTACTGATTTGTCTTCTTTTTGGAAAACTTCAGTAAAACTATACATAGTTTGTACCTGCCATTGCTGAGGATTGGTTATTTTAATTGTTTGCTTTTCATATCTTTATTCGCACTAAAAAAGACAAAGCAGTCAAACATTGTAATGTTTTTGAAAGAAACTGAAATGAAGGAAATAATGTCACTAGTCTCTTCTGATACTGATACAACTGAAATATTTTCAAGTGAGAATCGGTTAGTTTGATTCTTGCCACACAACTAAAAAAAAGGTAAAGCAGTGTTCTCATTTAAGTCTGCAGTTAAAAGTTCGCTAAGAGTCAGACCCTGACTTCATGCACAACTCTGAAATTATTGTACAGAACTTTAGTAGTAGAGAGACTGCTTCAGCATATTTCAGCATGTATTGTACATTCATGCAATCAATTAAGTGTTCATCTTATTATTATCATTAAGCTTCATTTGAGCGCATACCTGTCCAGATTATTTGTGCACGCATCAACTGCACACACCTTCTTTGTAAAATTACAGACTATTATTGTCTCATTTCCCTGGAAATGCATGATCCAAGTTCCATATTATGAACTGGACGTTAAAGTATGAACAAGTTTTTATTTTTTTACAATGATTTCAGATCCTATTCTCCATTTCTAACAAAAAATGTAAGTAGTATCATATTACAAGCTTTATTTGCAAAGGAAGCCAAAGTCTGTAGTACCTCTCTATCAGCCACCTTTCTGAATGACAGCTTAAGAAGCTGATTGGGATTTTGGTTTTAAAGCACTATAAAACAATCCAGCCTCATCTGCCAAGCCACTTCACATTTGGACTCCTTTAAGGAAAGTCATTGTAAATGCAAATACAATTGGCAAATCTCTGAAACTTGCACACAGCAATGAACTGAGTTCTGCTCCGCTGGGAAAGGATTTCCACCTTTGTGCAGCTCAGTGCATCGCTGCAAGATGCTGAACACTTGGGAAATGGTATCACGTTGGATGCAACTTACTCATTCTGTTACAGTTTAAGTGCTGGAGAGTTTTTGTTCTGTTCTGGTTGCTTTTGGTTTAGTTTGAGTTTGGGCTGGTTTTTGTTTTTTCTGCAGTTCAAACACTAAATGCATTTGTAAATCCTTTTTTTTTTAGTTACAAATGCAACCTGCTGGAGCACATCTTCTTTAAAAGTTAACTGTTCCAACATTACTGATATTGTTTCTTATAGATTTTAATTGTGAACAACAATTTATAAAGACCACTTGATCCAAAAGCACACCATGGGTTTCCACAGATCTGATTAGGGGTCTGTATTCAGCTTATGTATAAACAAAGCCCACGTATTTTCCCCTATCATGAGAAAATAACATAATCAAGGTAAAACTCTGCACATGGAAACAAAAAAAAGTTTTTTTGTCATCTGACAGCACATGCTCTGGGGGACTTCTTTTATTTATAAGAAGAGGCTCAGCAGAGCACATTCTTCCCAGTCATCTTTCATAGTTCCCCTCAAGAGGTATAGCAGTTCACAATGTATGCCTACTGTCACCTCTTGCTCAAATGATACTTCTGTACTAATTGCTCCTCATTTAGCAAGTATCACATTTTTGAACTCAGACTGACATAAATTCCAGGCATTTCACTGCATTATGATAAGTGTGGGGGTAGATGTCTGGACTCATCACTCCTTTCTGTTACTAAAAAATACCATGGAGATTAAGGAGAAAGTTTTCTGGAGCTAGAAAGCAAACAGAGTAGCTACCTTGCAGGATTCAGCAGCATGGCTAGGAAAACCCAGCACTGGATAATGCAATGAGATGCATATAAAACTAGTTTAGGAGAAAGAGCAACATGGGAACCCCAGCCTTCAAGAAAGAAACCCAGTCAAGACTGCCAAAATGTGAAGAGAGACACAGGGACTGCAAGTCCAGCTTATTTGTAAACCCACACACATAAGTGCACACACAAACAGCAGTCCACAAAGTTCAATAGCGTCAACTATGTCACCTACAGCATGCAGTACAAAACCAAAATAACCTTCTTCTAATTTTTATTTTAATACGCAGTATCTCAGTGTTCTGCATACGAATGCTGAAGTAAGGACTAGCTCTTAATATATGAGCACAGCACAAGAAAACCATTAACAATATAAATATATACTGAAAGCAAAAATTGTTTTGATTATGCTAATTTTCCCTTCCAGGAATTAATCTTGCAGGTTAAACAACTGCATTTATTTTTCAGAAGCTTGAACAGCCTGCTTCCTTTGCAAACAATTAAAATCAGAAATTAAATGTATATAGTAGTTTGAACAGAGAAAGGCCGTAAATGTTTCAAAAATTTAGATAACAAAGTATGTTAAGACAGTGAAAAGTAAATACTGCTGTTAAACTTCAGCACAAGAGATAATTCACAGTAAATCACCAAAAATGCTCCAAAAAAACTAAAGATGTGAATTAAAAAAAAAAGAAAAAGAACAGTTCTGCACAGGGAAAAAAGAAAGCATTATAGTACAGTTTCTATCCAAACCAACAGCAGAATATTTCAGTTGGAATTCAACAAAAGTAATGGATAAAGTTTGAAGTTTAAAGAGGATGAATACCTTCACTACTTTCTGCTAGGTATTAACAAAATATTTATTGCCAGACCACGTAATACCCATAGGATTAGCAAGCATTCCATACCATAGTCAGACAACACAAGCTTTATCATTTGCATTTAAGCCTCATTTATCAAGAAATAAACACACAATTACAAACACAGGTCCTCTGCTGTTTGGGTTGCTATTCTCACACACTTTGTTGCGATGATAATAGCAACGGAGTGAACCTCAGGAAGAGAAGACAAAGTGCTTCAGTGAGTCTCTCTTACTGACTCAGGAGAACTACTTTCATGCTCCAAAGAGCTACAGCCGTTTTCCTTTGGCTAGAAGGACGGGTCAAGCTTGACTCAAAAAAGACAGATAAGGCAATACAAAGAAACACTGCAAAAAAATTACTTTTAAAACTACCTGTTAAAATGTGCTGAGCAGATGAGTATCACAGCAAGCAAAGTGATCTTACCAGTAAACAACATCCAGTGGTACAAAATATTTCTTCATAATTAAGTCAGCAAAGTAAGCTTCTGTTTCTCTGCAGGCCGTGCCATTGCCAATCACAACAGTGCTACAACTTCGCACAGGATACAAACATGAACAATTAATTATTCTTTTAGACTTTTTCATACATAGCACATAGCATTCAATGCACAACAATGACCAATAAATCTTATTTTATATAACACAAGGCCTGGATTTAATGAGAACATATTCCTAGTAGTATCACATTGTGTTTAACAGGTTTTCAATGTGACAGTTCAAGAGATGAGTCAAAATTTTCACTCATTTGTAATAGAACTGAGCAGTAGTAGTATCTGCAGAAAAAACAAAAATGATACTTCATATTCGTAAGAGAAATGTAATGTTATTTACAGTCTACAAACCCTTTCACGTCGAATTTCCCTCATTTGTTATGATGTTATGAGTCACAAAAAAGGGCAGAAGCCCAGGCAATCAGAATCTTAATTTCTTAATGGGAACATCATAGTTTGCAACAGCTTGCAAGGTCATTGACTCTGACTGCTCCCACCACAGCCAGTCAGCCATCAAATCACCTTGTTTAAAGCCAGTGTAATGCTTAAAGACAAACTGGACTGTATGCTGTGGCAGTTCAGCAGCTGACTGAGTGGACCAGATGTCTGTCCACAGGGGATCCCAAAACAGTTGGATACAATAACCCATTAATCATGCTGCCCCTATTTGCAAGTCCATCTGGAGATCTATCTGAGCAGGATTTTCTTTGCTTAATAAAACTCTTCCAAAACCTAAATGTAGCTTTTGGAACAGGGAGAGATCAGTAAGTGGTTTGGGGGTTGTGGGGAGGTAGGAAGAGAGAGGCTAAACTTATTCCTCAGCTGAAAGTTAATTTCTATTCCTAAAAATTAATGGATTGACAGAACTTTATGGGGATACATTCATAGCATGCAGCCTCAGCCATAACCATGGCTTGATTTCATATGCTTCTAACATATACATACTATAAAATCATGAACATAAACTAAAAGAAAAATAGGTTCTGAACTACTTAAAAGAAGAATTCCAGTTAAGTCAATAGAATTATTCTCATTCCACCCAAAAGCAAGTATTCATATAGTGAAAACTTTAATTACGTTTGGTAAGAAAGAGTAATAAATGGATGTTTCTTGAGCATACCTGTACTGTAGCAGGAGTCTCTTTATCTTCTCAGCTTCACGAAATCCTTGACCAGAATGCAAGTAAACTACATCAGTATGGAGTATCTGACCTAGAACAATGAAAGCCAAAGCCATTTGATGAAAAAAGGCAAAGAATCCAAAAGCTATATCCTACAGAACTACTGAAGTTAATTTGATGATTCACAAAACAAGCTTCTTGAATAAGCCATCTTTACCTTTTATTTTTATAATATATCCAATTAGAAGAAATGTATGGTCAGCAGAGGACAAAAAATGCTTTGGCTGCCAAAGCAAAATGAGTTCCTGTATTTTCTAGTTCCCTGGGGACATATCCACATAACAAATAACGAGCATTTTGTCATATTAGGCAAATAAAGTGTGTTATATTACCAAAGAGAAAAACAGCAGTTCACTGCAGAACATTTATTGTTCTGGTCTAGTACATTTTACAGATCCAGTAAAGAGATGAAAATTAGGAATGCAGTCTCTGGGTTTGCAGTCCAGGAGCTCTTGAACTCCTATGCCAGCTCTTGCCATTATCCTATCTATCACATTTGGAGAGAACTCTGTATTAACTGGTAGTGATAGCTTATGGCGCAATGCAAGCTAATAAGCATTTACTTTATCTTCATTGCCATTTTAGCATGTGTCAAGAACACATCTTTCCTTACACCCACGCTGTGTGGATATATACTCAGACAAAAAGCAGCAACAAAATAAAAGGAAAACAAACCATTTTCTCATGGGCCTGAAGAGGTAGGTATCCCCAGATCAGACTAAGAGGAACTGGAAAGGGTCTGTTCTGTATCTGCTTAAAAACTGAACCAAAATGTTCTGCAAATACAATGTTTGACTTCTCACATTAACACACATATTACTAAACCAAAAGGGCTGCTGATAAAATGTCCAGATGTCCAAGATACTACCCATGAAAAAAGCAAAGTTACAGAAAGTATTTAAATTCAAATTCTCTGTTAAACAATAAAAATGCCAGGTGTTCTCTTTGCAGAGTACTGAGAGGCACAATTATTTGAACATGTATTCAAGAAGGCAGAAGGGATTTTAAATTCTATTTTAGAGAGGAGTAATAACACCAAAGGAGACACTGGAATCCAGGTGCCAGAAACTTAACCTTAAGCCTGAAGAAAGGCATTTGCATGACAGGATGCATGGAAAACACTAGAAGCCTAACAAAAAACCCCATTTGACAAAAAAGGAGGTTTTGAAACTATCTTTCCCTCTAAATTAATATATTTTTATCAGTCCTTTCCAAAATATTTCAAATTGAAACTTACTGGTTGGTGAAATAATTGCCAACTTGCAGCCATGTTTGTAGCCCGGATCGACTCCCATCAAGGTACGGCCCCTCACAGGGTTGGTCAGAAGCAACTGCCGGAGATTTCTCCCAAACATCATTACAGACTCTTTCTCTGCATCAGATGTCAACTTTGATCTTAGAAGCATGAAAGCAAAAAAACATTTTCTCCTCAATTACCTTTCAAATGCACTTCTGAATTGTTTCAAAGTTGTAAAGACTTTCTCCAATCATGTTTCCATTATCTTTAAACATTACACTTCTAATCAAGTTTTTGTTGGTGTTTTTTTGTTTTGCCCCCCCCCTTTTTTTTTTCCTTCTTTACACTTCTTAAAAAAGGATCAGCTATATGATCATCTCATTCCGGTTCTACGAAAGTAAAACAACATAAAGAGTATAATAGAAACATCTATAAGAATGTACACATACCAACTAACATTCAAATATCAATTCATAATTTTGAGCAATGAACAGGTGCCTGTCAAAGCTGATACCCAATTGCAAGGCAAAATTCATTTGAAGAATGAATTGAATGCATCATTAACTTCCCAGTTCTGGAGAAAACCCACTACCCAGTAACAAAAGAATGATCATTTAGGCTGAGAGGTACTAGAGTGAAACTGGAAGGGGCCTATCCAATTAATTGCTAACACACCATGACTCCCGAAGCACTTAATTTCATCTACTACTTGTGTTATTTAACGGTCATCACAGAAGTGGGTAGACTTGAGGTCCCTTCTAGGAGGGTATTTGGCTTCCTCAGAACCAAACAGGAAAGCTCACAATTTTCCATATAAAGAGAGAATTACTTCCCCTTGCAAGCATCATCTTACGCTCATCTCCACTGAACTTCAGTTGCCATTTCATTTCCTGGTCATTCAGTTGTAATACAACAGTTTGCCCTAGTCTTAAAAAATTAAGCTAAAATAACCCAAACCACAGAACAAGCTTCTTGCAGGTAGAGTCCAGGGACATGGGCTGGAAGTGTTGGTTGAATTCAAGCCCACCCAATGACCAGAACGTTTTGATGCCTCTTGAGACCAGAGACAACAAATACCTAAGCCTCACAACCATATGGATCTTCCACATAGACACACAACAGAGATTCAGCCAGCCGCACATGCACAGAAATTAACTTTAAAAGTGGCTTGTAAACAAGGGAAAGTTGAATGCTCTTGGACTGGAGGCTTTATTCAGAGACAGGCCAAGTTCCAGCTTTCCATCTATCCGAGAGATACGGGGTCCCTACTGCCCACAAGACCAAGTCCTCCCACACTGCAAATTCACATCAGTCCACCTGTGAAGGGAGGCTTGTGCAGGAATTAAAATTGCCCCTAAACACATGCTATTAGTTATGTGCACCTTATGGAAATCACGTTTAAAATTGGCATGGATATACAGAAACTTTTACAGTAACAGGAAACGTTACTGTAAGTGCCAGGTGCATAGGGGGAACATAACGTATGTCCTTTCTATTACATAATATCCTGTATTTTTTAATTTCAAATATAGACCTCTCTTTTCTCTCTAACTGCCTCTCACTCAACACTTGTGTCAATGACATGATCTACTGTCCCAAGTACTGGCTCTTAATTTCAAGTTTGGGATAGTCATTTCATCCTTGAACAAATATCAAGGTACCTCAAACAATCTAATATCCTTCTCTTTTTTCATCCAAACGGCAAGATGCCCAGCTTCATGTTTTTCCCATTTGTGACAGTTCACATTAATATGGCAGAGGTATAAGGCAGAGGCAGATATCAGTCCTCCTCTCTGAACACAAGAGGAATGATTATTTTGTAAAAAACAAAACCCTTCAGTTGATGCTTTATGAAAAAGTATCAATGAAGTCAGAATTTCAAGCCCCTCCCTTGAATTCTGTGAAGCACTCAGACTGTATATCACTAACAGGTATATTGTAATAAAAGCAAATAACCTAATCATGACCTGCTAGCTCCTATATTCAATGTTTAAGAGTCAATTTTTAAATTGAGATTTAGAACTCCCCAATTCCATATACAGTCGGAGAGTCAATCCTTTCCGTGGAAAAATATCTGCAAACTAGCTTCAGGTGCGAAACAAGATATACAGAGAAATGTTTGTGTCCCTGAAGACAGAGGAAAGCACTCACTTCAAGAACGCATGGAAAATTAGGAAAGGATTATCCATTAAAAAAATACGTCTATGCCACATGACTTGCATCAAATCCTGATGGAATCATTACACCCAGTACTGCAACAAAATAAAATATATTTCAAAGAGCCAAAAGCAACACTGGACATTATTATACCAGATACAAGAAATTATGGTATCTGACAGAGTGGAAGAAAGGAAATTAAACAATAAATAAGGTAACTGTCTTGCTGGCAAGTTTCATTCTTCTGATCACTAGAAGCACCAGAAATTTCAATACACTCTTGGAAAGTTTCTGTTCCAAAATTTAATGATAATAAAAAGAAAAAAAAAAAACAGTGGGAGGTGCATTGGAAATATTAAGGCTAAAAGAATGTATTGAATACTTTAGCAGCCCTTTGCAAGAGTCCTAAAAATCATCTTCTGGTGTGGGTGGAAAGAGAATAAAAGAAGGATAAGGGTTAAGGGTCACGGACCAGGAATACTACTGGCAGGTGCTTTGCATTCTTCTCTACAGGAGATGTTTCAGCTTTTCCTAACCAGACACCACCAATCATGCAAAATCATCACAAAGAGTAAAACATAAGCAGACATCCACTCAGCAACAGGCAACAAGCTTTGCATTCTTTGCATTTATGACTTCTGAGCTACATCTAGGAAGTAGTAGGGAAGGAAGCCTTTTTTTTTTTTTTTTTTTTAAGAGAACAGAACACTTTCAGCAACCTACGACTGCAGCAGCCCTCAGTGCTATACACAACACACACAGGCCACAACAGTCCTGTGATAGGAACCACAAAGCAAACACACAATAAGAGAGCCTTGAATAACCCTTACGCCAGTTTGTTTATTTATGATAAAACCAAACCCCACTAAAAGGTAAGGTTTTTTTCTTTATTTTAAGAGAGTTTGATTGTAGAGAAGGCTAGAAATGACAATTACTTTCACACTGATGTGACAGAAGCCAACAGTTGGACTCACCATCATAAGATGTTCATAGTTTTGGCCAAACAATAAACACAGTGCCTCATCTAAAGTAGCTACATGTATGGCAGTCACCAAAAAAAAAAAAAAAGAGAACCCAGCACTTTCAAAAATCTGTGAAATTCACAGTAGCAAAAAAACAGGCTCACCAATCAAAAAGGGTAAAGCAATCTTGCCTGCAAAGTAATGAGCAAACATCACATAGTGCAGTGAAGAAACCCAAAAGCCATTAGAGATATCTGCTGTTCAAAACTTTAGCTGACAACTCTTTTGAGAGGGGAAGAACATAGAACATCCAGCCAATGATGCTCAGGAAAAGAAACGCCAGGAAAAGAACTCCAATTTGAACAGAAATGTAAGACCACAGCCATGCAAGTACAGAAGAACTATATTTCAAAACACGATTGCTGATTTTAGGTACTGAATAACCAACATATGTCATTATGACACAAGTCATTTCAACATTTCTGGTCCAAGAAACAGGGTTTCTTTGATAAACTTCATTTGAACTACCTCAAAACAAGTATTAAAATTTAGGTTACATATCATAAAGCCTTGCCAGAATCAAACATGTTACGCTTTGGGGAGCTTCTCTTCTATTCAAGGGAAGAATCACACCATCAGTACTGTTAGCCATTTGACAACACTTCTAGAATGTAGACTTTTTGACATATTAAATAATTTTGATTAAATGTAGTACAGGAGTTCACATAATTCATGTTACTTTGATAATACTAAGTTTTAAATTTCCTTTAAATTTAGAACAATATTACAGATCTTATAAGTGACGCTTTGTGTGATGACATCATTATTACAGTATCACCAGAAATAAGTTTACTGACTACTCTAGAGCTATCACAATACCCACAAAATGGTACCAGACTAACACTGACCAATTCATTCAGCACAAAGTGTAGATGACAAACATGAGGGACACTTCCAACCACAACAGTTACTTTGCTGGTTTCTTTCAGACAGATAAAGGAAAAGGAGTCAGAACAATGTGACTGACAGTACTATTACTGTGATGTGAAGAGATGCTAGGAAAATTGAGTGACATAATGGTTTACGCTAATACAAGGATAAAGATGCAACTATTATGGTAACATAGATCTAAACTGTACTGTTAGATAAATGTAAAGGCAACAAATATGTAAACATGTAAAAGGTCTTCACAGAAAGATCTACTGTAACCTAAACTGGATAGGGTCACAAACTAAACCTACAGAACCAAGACTACATAGTTCATTTCTTCTGTAAGCACAAAGTATTAAAAACATGCTGATATTTTTAAAAGGAACAAAGACATTCCAATAAAAAGTAGAGAAGGGATATGTTAAGAAATTTGTAGTATGCAAATACACATTCAATCTGGGCTTACCTGAATTCTCTACAGAGGAGAGGATATATAAGGCGTTTATATGCATCCTCTACCGAGTTCCGTAATATCCTCATTAATTCTGGTTTTAAAAATTGTTTTGGTCTCCATCTGCAAAAGAATAGAAAAATGAAAAATATTTTAAGAACATATGCAAAAACTCAGATAAAAAGAGGATTTTCAAAAAAAAGACTCCTACATTGAGTGTAATGTCCTATAAACTGTACAATTACTACAATAATCAGGCAATGAAACCATAGTTTGAAATACAAATAGAATGAGAAGCTGCTCACAGTTCTACTATCAAACAAGGAACAAGGCCTATCTTTTCTCTTTTTATGTAAAGTATTAGAATGAAATTATATTTTATGTTTTAAAGATAATTAAAAAAAAGTTACTTTTCACTTCAGGAAGTCAAAGCTTACCACAACTGAATGAAGAACTTGGTTCCATATTACCATTATAGCTGCATTATTTGCTATTCCTCAATTATTAAAAAAATGACTAAACATCCTCTATGAGTGTCATTGCAGAAGCAGTGTAAGGCAACTATGCCCAGACAGCAATTCAAGAGCTAAACAAATGTCAATTAGTGAAACCCAATTCAAAATTCATTTGGAATACTTTGAGTATCTCTATTCAAACTCAAAATGAAATATATAATTTTGCAGCAGTCCTTAAAAAAAAAAAAACAAACACACCAAACAAAACCAGCAAAACCCAAACAATTTGCAAATTATTTTTCTATTTCACCTATTTTTGATGTATTTAAAGTGTAAATAATATTCTAGCAAAAGGGAAAATTAAATAAAAAGACTATTTCCCAACATTTTCCAAGCCAAACTCTTTGGAGCATTCCCTTTTCTAAGGCGACTCTGCACAGTGGTCATAGCCATAACAATTACTTCAAACTTTGTGCTAAAATACACCCCAGTTTCAAAGCTCCCCCGAACAGAGATCCCAGATATTTATTCAACTGACTTTTTTGGTTTGGGCAATGTTACTACACAGGGGGAGGTGTGAAAGTCCCTTGAACAAGCACAACTGACTCACTGAGATTGTCCACCCAATGAGAAAAGAGAAAGATTGAGGAGACACAACCAGATATATTATACTCATATAGAAGTAACGACTATGAACATTTTCTGTTACAATCCACCTGGTTTTTATTTCTGTTTAAAATATTGATAACAGAGTTTTCTTCACTTAGTATATTTTTTACATGCCTAAAACTCTAACAACAAAGTGAGATATATACATATTTTTTAGTATGTCTGGGTAACTTCTGTAAGTGTGGGGGGTTTTTTTTGGTGGGTTGTTTTGTTTTGGTTTGGTTTTTTTTAATGCAACAGGATAGAATTATGGCCAATTGATAATGTGTCCATGTGTAGGCCCAGGCAAAAACAGGACTGAATTTTACTTTTGACTTTGTTTACTTATGCTCACTCGGAAATATTGAGAATCCTAAATTGCTCCTATCCAGACAGCTTTTCAGTTGTTTCAGGGAATTGTAGATCCCCTTAAACAGCTTTTCTAAGTGTCTATGCATATAATAGTTGAAAAATGTGTCATCAACTCAACACCACATTAATGCACACAGACATGGGAGCAGAATTAAGCTTACCATTTAGTTTTACAACATCGAGAGTTGTGAGTGCTTACCCATATGACCTCATCACTTCGCTAACAGTTTTTGCAAATAGTTCTATTATACTTATTTGTAACCAGATACTCTTTCCATACCTATATAAAACTAGCAGGTTTAAAGCAAACCTCCTTATTGCTATCCAATTCTATAAACATGAAGTTTTTACAGGTGGCAAGTATGACTCCACTCTCCCAGAAAGTATCCTCAGCACAAGTAAGAATCAGTTTGGAAACCTGGCAGCTGTTTCACCCTCTCTTCCAACCATTAAAGCTAGTTAGCAAACCTTTTCTCTGTAAATAGTTTATCACAGCAGGTATTTTTATTACTTGCCTATATACAAGTAAAAATTCTTCAGGCAACATCCTATTAGAAATCCTAGAATTGCTACAAATGCAAAAATACTGTAACAGTAAGTTCAATCATAGCAAATACTACATTTTAATGATTCCAATACTTCAGGAGGAAAGAGAAAAATCCAATTCACTGCAGAAAACAAAGCAAAAGCATGTGTGTATAATTTTAGAGATCATTGAAGCCTAGTTAAGCTTCCCTCTAAGAATAGACTTTTCTTGATTAAATAATCAAAAGCTGACTTTCAAAGCCCTTTAAATGAAGCCCTATTTAGAAAAAGTCCATACAAATAGTATCATCTTACTCTGCTCATCATCTCTCCATGTGTGTGTCCTCACAACAGGGACCACCATAAGCATAAATAGCTTTGACTACTGGTACACCTCAGAGGGTGAAACTATGCATCAACAGAATTAACATAGCCCATGTGAAGAACCCCTAGTATTAATTAACAACTGTTCTAGGAAGAGCACAGCTAGGCTTTTAGACCTGAAGCACAAAAGGCAGAGCTTTGTTTTCCTCAAAGATGTTATATGAAACTTGTACCAAGTTGGTAACCACACACAAAGCATTCATTCAAGGCCTGTACCATGGACTTTACACAGGATATGAATATTTTATCTGGAAACCGAAAATAAGATTGACAAAAGGTCAGTGTTTGACAAACAGCAAACTTCAGCTCACTCAGTTGGGAGGGATTCCATGGGAAGCTTCCCTGGAGGGCAAAGGAGCTAGGGAGTCCTGGGAGTTTTTCAGGAACGCTCTCCTCAAAGCACAAAAACAGTTCATCCCCTTGAAAGGTAAGGGAAGGAGGCAGAGCAAGAGGCCTCCGTGGCTTAACTGTGAGCTTCTGAGTTTGCTCAAAAACCAAAAGAGAAGTGTACCAGAGATAGAAAAAAAGACAAATACCCATTCAGAACAAGGGCATTGCCAGGGAGTGCAGAGATGCAGTTAGAAAAGCAAAAGAATAGAAATTGGCCAGAGATGTCAAAAACTACAGGAAAGGGTTCTTCAGGTACATAAACAACAAGCAGAAACAGAATGAAAATACTGGCCCACTGTTAAACAGGAGAGGTGAATTAGTCACCAGTGACGCTGAAAAGGCAGAGGTTCTCAACACTTCCTTCGCCTCTGTCTTTACCAGCACTGTTGGGCCCCAGGCCTTGGGCACAAAAATCCAAGCCAATGCAAACACAGGCCCACCATCATCAAAGGAAAGTTGGTACGTGAACTATTACAGGAGCTTGACCCCTACATTGATCAATGGGCCCCAAGGGTGTTAAGAGAGCTGCCTGATATCATTTCAAGGCTGTTCTCCATAATCTTTGAGAAGTCACAGAGATCGCGTGCCACCCCAGAAGACTGGAAGAAGGCTCATGTCACTGCCATCTACAAAAAGGGCTTAGAGGAGGATCCAAGAAATTATAGGCCCATCAGTCTTTCTTCAGTCCCTGAGAAAGTTATGGAACCAATCCTGCTGGGGGCTGCACAAGTCAAATGAAGCACGGGATTAGGAAAAGCCAGCACAGATTCACCAAGGGCAAGTTGTGCTTGACAAACCTGATCACCTTCTATGACAAAGTAACCTGCTCATCAATGTAAGGTGAGCAGCAGACATAGTCTACCTGGATTTCTCCAACGCTTTCGATAAAGTTTCCCCCAGTCTCCTAGAGAGACTCATGTGTTACGGCCTAGACAAGTGGTCTGTGCAGTGGGTGGGGAACTGGCCACACGGTACATAGCTCCTTTTCAAAATGGCAACCTGTCACAAGTGGGGTCCCCCAGGGATCGATTTTGGTCCCAATGCTGTTTAATATCTTCATAAGTCAACTGGATGATGGGATCACATGTACCCTCATGAAATTTGCTAGTGACACCAAAAAGAATGGGGAAGCACACACTTCAGAAGGGAGAGCCATCCTGCAGGAAGACCCGGGTAGGCTGGAAGAGTGGGCTAACAACAACCTTATGAAGTTCAACAAAGACCAATGTAAGGTCTTGCACCTGAGAAAACATAATCCAGGAATGCAGCACAGGCTGGGATCTACCCGGCTGGGGAGCAGCTCTGTGGAAAGGGACCTGGGGGTCCTGGTAGACAACAAGCTCAATATGAGTGCACAGTTTGTTGCTGCAGCAAAGAAAGCCAACAGGATGCTGGGTTGCATCAACAAGGGCATCACCAGCAGAGGTAATGAAGTCATTACACCACTCTACTCAGCACTTGTCAGGCCACACCTGGAATACTGTGTTCAGTTTTGGTCCCTGCCATACAAAAAAAAGATGTGGACAGGCTGAAGAGGGTCCAGAGAAGGGCCATAAAGATGACCAAAGGACTAGGAAGCCTGACATGTGAAGAACGGCTGAGAACCAGGTTTCTTCAGCCTTGAGAAAAGAAGGCTTAGGGGAGACCTTATCAAAGAAAATATTGTCATCTTAGAGAGCGTCTAGATGGAATTCAACGCAATAATGAAGAACTCCAGTCTTCCATATCCACTATCCACTGCAAGGGCATTTAATGCTAAAAAATTCGCCTCAGAAGAACACATAAAGGTCAGCATATTTGCTGCCAATTCAATAGGCAGTAGGTGACACTGTTTTGTGGCTAGAATACTGGCCAAACACTGTAAGAAAATGGCATTTCCAGTTCTGCAACTGATTTTGTGTGTGACCTTCAGTAAATTAGTTAATACATTTGAAAAGTTTTGAAATCCTTGTCTCAGACAAAAGTTCTTAACCTTTTGCTCTCACCAGTAAATTGATGAAATGAAAGTAATGCAACTCCCACCCTTGGGCAGTCATTTCCAAGCTTTCAGGAAAGAATATAGATTTACTATCTGTCAATTTGATAACACACTTGTCAATCTAATGAGGAAGATCAGAATCTGTCCTAGATGTTAATGCAGTAAGATCTACTAAAATCATTCCTTCTGAAGTTTTCTGATGGTGGTGAAGTTGGCCTTAAAGTCATAAGCACATATAGCTTCATGAATGCTAAGTATTAATAAGTAGTTCTGTTTCCAAGGTCAATATTCTTTTTATCTCAGGATGACTCACAAAAGTGTAATCAACCAAAAAATCTCAATTTACACCCCACTTTCATTTGCATAGCAGTGACAAGCTGTTCCATTATCTGTGGCTCACAGTGCTTCCAAATTCTGTCATAGATGCAGGAAAAGCAAAACTGACAGGTATGTTCTGCCTACAGAATATACAACTTGGGGGGAAGAACAGAAATTCCATTACAGGTATTAAAATTAGAATGAAACTTAGGTGTGTTTATAAATCCTGGGAAAAAAGTTACTTACTATTAGTCCTACATCATATTATGTCATCTGGCCAAACAGTATTTTAACTCTTTCAGAGGCTTCTGTATTGGAAACAGAACTATTGTATTTTTACAGCAAAAAGGAACATATTTACCGCATCTTCTTCTCAGATGCAAGGAAGAAAAATACATGCTAAAGTAGTATCACAGTATACAACTTTAAACATTAAAAAAAAAAAAGCATTTATTTCCTATCTTTTTTCTTCCTTTTTGTTATTCAATTTTAGGATGCAAAGGCTGGAGTTTAAGGCATCCTCAGAACAATGCCCAATATCTCACATATTTTCCTATAGAGGAAAAGAAACTTGTCTTTTATATGTGCAAGGAAGATGCACAGTTTGGACCACAATAATCTCTGACAGAGGACATCAAGGTGCAGTGTCCAAGAAAAAGACTGAGCACGCTATTTCATAAAACAACATGTATTTAACCTAAACTTTTGAAAAAAAACCCCGAACTTAAAATTATGCGACACTAAACGTGTCACTACAGGCTTAAAAAAAGCAACCTGTAAGAGCAAATCAGTAAGAAAGAAAAGAATCTTTTGTTAAAAGATTCTTTAAACCAAATTTAAAAAAAAACAATTGCTTGAAGAATAGTGTGAGAACTCCCCAAATACAGCCAAAAGCATGATCTTTTCAGCATAATGCTACAGCAGTTGGAAAGACAGAATAAGAATTATCCATTTGCTAATTTCATCTAATCTATTAAGTATTCGTTTAAATTTTCTCTTAATGTAACAAGACCTGTGACGTTCATTTCAGTATACAGCTGTCTATAGAAAAAAGATTTCTGTAAGAATATGTATCCATGCAGACCTTTCATTGACACACCACCAACAGAATTCATTCTTCACCCCGTCAGGAATGTTGACCTTCACTGTCAGGATCTTCAGATTTTCCCCTCGGTTAATGGCCAGAATCTGAGTGCAAACATAAATGGCAGAGACAGATGACACACAAAATATCCAAAAGATAAACTTATCAACATTTGTGTATGCACTTGCTTGACATTCTGTAGCAAATCATGATGGTGGTACAGTAAATCAGTTCACAAAAATACTAGCATGTACAGATAACATCCACAATTTAGACACAGATTAAATCATGCTGTGGCATAACAAATCATACATTTTTTCCAAGAGTCTGCAATCTCAAGATCCAGTTATCTTAAACACACTTGTAATACAAGTCTGCATGAATTTAGTTGGTGGAATAACCTTGTTTAATAACTCAAAGTAAAACTCAAGAAATTCATTGAAAAGTGATTCCAATCAGAACTAGCTATCGGAAAGGGAAAAAGTATCTTCAGGCTTCATTTTGCTTCCCAAAATCAATCCAAATGTAAAATTAATTATGAATCGGAACTTGTGACACAAAGGTAATCAGCCTAATTTGAAAGAGGATAAATTTTTAGTTATTCACACCTAGTTCATAAATAGCTGAAAATATTGTAGATACACTCATTATGTTAATATTAACGCTCTGACCTTAAAATGTATGCACATATTTCTGGCAAAGTCTTGTGTACACAACTGCATATTCATGATCTAAAGCTAAATCTGGATAAATACATGCAATCTGCACACAGACTTCTCCTTTAAATGGAAGTCTGTGGCTCTACATTTAATATCAGGATCACAACACGAGTGGTGCATCCTAGAGGATGCTGGTGGGGTATCTACCAGTCTAACCTCTCTACGAAGATGACGAGTGTTCATCTGAAGCAAGCCTTACAGTACTTATTAAGAACTCTCACTGGTCAAGGGATTTTAAAAACAGAACAACAATTAGAAGCAGTTACAAAAACCACACGTTTTTAGATTTCATTTTCCCTTCCAAAATACTTTAAGGCGCAAAAATAAAAAAACCTGCTGGAAGTTGACATTCCTGTATGACTACACATGTTGCTGTATGTAGCAGGCCCTGAGCACTGTCACAACAGAGCATTCTGTGTCAATCATGAACTTTAATTCAATCACTAGCTAACTCAGACATGTCACATATGTTAAATACAACAGTTTAAAATGACTCCAGGACATAGTACCAATTTATATTCCTCAGCCTTACTGCTCCCGTGACATACCAGGCCTGACATATCATTGAACAACAAAGCTAATAATAAAGATTGCATGTGAAATATTATAGCATCTAGTACCTTGACTGCCAAAGCAAATGTTTTCATGTAGACATTAGAAAGACACATTTTAACAAATAAATGCATTCATGTTTATTCTGATTTTATGTTTTTTTTAAAAAGAAAGTTAAATGTCAAGCTAAAATGAAATGAAAATGATGCTCATGACAGAGAATTCATTTGAAAGAATTATAGTGTCGCCATTCAGCATGCTGTTACCGGGGTCAATATTTGCATCATATTTTGTTTCCTGGCACTCTGTCTGCAGAATGTGTCAGTCACCTGAACTTAAACCAGCTGTATGGCAATCACTAGTGTTTTTTACATTTTCATTCTTAAACAATCTGCCTATCCTGTTTTAACTGACACTATGTTCATATGTTCAGAGAAGAATTATCAACTGGGAAAAGCTCAATTAAGAAAGTAATTACTCAATTTCTCCCCTTATGATAATAAAGGTGGGTATGTTTTGGGGTTTTTTAATTAACAGGTTCAAATACAACTCTTCTAGACACAAAGTAAACTTTTAGTTCTGAGAAAAAGACTGGTTTTATGCAAGACTGGAACAGATCTAGCAGAAAGGTTAATAAAAATAACATACGTTTTTAAGAGAAAGCAAGAACAATAACTCGATCTAGTCAGGAGATTTATCAAACCTTATTCTCTTTATCAGAAAAATAGAACATCCTTCACATTGCACAGCACTCATGTTCCAGATTTACTTAGACTCAGTAAGTTTTGTATATTTTGCCAAAGACTTTAATTTCCAATTCCTTTTTAAGTATGAGACTGAAAATAGAGCACTTGCCTCAAAAATTACACTTTATTCGTGAATGCTCTTCCTCCCACCAATTCAGTCATCTCCAAATAGAGGCAAGGAACCCCAAGACATACACAAACACTGAACTGTTGACAATTAGTCAAAAATGCAAATCAACTCTTGAAAGATTTTCTTTTTTCCTTAGTTATGACAGTGTTGGTATGGTTACCCAACTACACCCTAAGAGTCCAGTCAGGTTATTCTTGCTGCCAAAGGGAGGAACTGTGGCTGAGACTCCTGACAGCAAATGTTCCAGCTGGAAACACCCACAGGTAGCCATCTGATCATGTCAAAATCTGGAATCAGGTTTTTTAAACAAGTAAGTTTCCTTTTCTTATTTCGGGTTCAGTATTTTAACTTTTTCAAACAACCCGACTCCACACCAGTCCTGATTATTTCGTGGCACATGTCAACACACCAAATGACAATGGCACAAGAAGTAACCCAGAACTACACCGTGTGCAACAACAGCCACAGAACCAAGCTGCAGATTACTGCACACCAGTGTACCTCATTGTAATACACGCTGCAAAGCACATTCATGGCTACAAATGCTTTGGTCATAAAGACACAGCTTATTCTCTTCTAGGTAACATGCTAGTCTACTGCCCGTCCCCTTTACTTACATGTAAGCTAGAGCAGAGTTGGGGTGGTACACTGACCTTTAAGACTAGCACTCCACAGTCAGGTGATGACCAGTTTCAGTGCAGTATTTTATGGAATCCTTTATTTGCAACTCTGCAAAGAGGTGACTTAAGCTGACTTCTACTTTTGCCTCTAGCTCAATACACTGAGAACACTTGTCTGTGCACAGTTGAGATCTTGCCAACAGTGAATTTTGGAAGTGTTCTTCACACACAGCTATTTAACCCGCAGTCCTGGAAGATTAGTAAATGTTAATAAATCCCTCCGAGTTTCAGGTTTCCCTGTATCTTTTTTAGGTATAAGCTTCTTCTAAAAACCCTGAACCAAATCAGCAAATTTCTTCACTTAAAGGCATCTACGCCTCTCCCAAAGCACATTCAAGAACACATATTCAACCAGCTTTCTCAATGTAGAAGAGAAGTATTTCTTCAAAGCCTTAGCTGAAGGAAAAACTAAAGACTTCTAGGTATTAAAAGGAACAGTTATAATGCTGTCTTGGTTTCAGTTGGGATAGTTAATTTTCCTCCTAGTAGGTGGTATAGTGCTGTGTTTTGGATTTACCATGAGAATAATGTGGTAACACACTCACGTTTTAGCTATTGCTAAGCAGTGATTACACTAAGGCCAAGTACTTTTCAGCTTCCCATGCTCTGCCAGTGAGGAGGTGCACAGCTGGGAGGGGGCACAGCCAGGACAGCTGACGGGATATTCCCTGCCAGCATGCTCAGTATATAAACTGGGGGGAGTTGGCTGGGTGGTCAGCTGGCTGGGGGGGGCAGCAATCACTGCTCGGGGACTGGTTGGATGTCAGTCAGTGGGTGGTGAGCAGCTGCATCATTTGTTTTTCCTGGGTTTTGCTCCTCTCTTCTTGGTTTTTTTTCCTTTTCATTACCTTTTTTTTTATTTCGATTACATTTATTTCAATTACATTTTTATTTTATTTCAGTGAGTAATCTGTTATTATCTCAACCCACAAGCTTCTTTACTTTCTGATTCTCTCCACCCCATCAGGGTGGGAGAGGGTGAGCAAGCTGCTGTGTAGTGCTTGGTTACCGATTGAGGTTAAATCACAACACCCAAGAAAACAAAAGAGAAAAAAATGGTTATTTGCATCAGCAGGGTAATAAAGAAATTGAAGGTTATGAGAAAGACTTTTGGAAGTACAATACTAGGGTTTAAGCTTAAGGAGGAAATGGCAGATAAAGAAAACACTTTTTCTTTTCATCATCAAAACACAAAAGGGAGACAAAGGAAGGAACTTGAAAACTAACAAAGAACCAAAAATCAACAAAAATGAGAAGATACAGTATTTTTACAGAACAGAGAACTCTGCAAACTGCACATGTTGGGGATGTTCATAAAATGCATTCTTTACCCGACTATAAGAAAAGAGCCCTGACATACCTTGGGCACTGAAACCTCAGTGAAGTACAAACAACTCAGATCTTCAAGATTCATAATAGAGAAATATTCAATGTGTTAGAATAGGCAATAGCAGTAGTACACATTTGAAAGACAACACATAATAGCGCAAAAATTTCCCGTGATTACAGGACTACCAGCTGCAAGAACAGCAGTTATTACTTCACTGGAGAGCCAGAATGGGAAAAGAAAGAGGCATTAAGGTTAGTGACACACACGAAGAGAAATAAAACCGAAACAGATACTAATCTTAACATCAAATAGACAAACTAAGGACACATCCTGGATAAGACATAGCGCAGCAACAAGGTCAGAGTACTGACCAGGTTTGGGAAATCTGTTTTCTAGCCCTGGCTCTATCTGAGCAACAGTTTTCCTCATGTAGAACAGGAAAAAAAAAAGTATGCCTCGAACAAGTAGTATATTATCCCTGAAAACACCCAATACATGTTGTGTATCTCAGTATTCAACACTCTCAGTGCAGGAAATGACAGCCAAAGTATTCATTCAACAGTAAAGCACCCAAAAAAACCCCCATACAGCACAAAATTTAATTTCCTGATGATTCTACAAATCTTTGTGATATGTCACCACAGCAGTCTTAGCTTGCTCTATTGACTTTACCAGACTCTCTAGAAGCAAGTTTTCACCAAATCATTACTGCTATAAATACATTAAATGTTCATACCTAGTACAAAGAGAACAACTACCGGTACCTCTTCAAACATGTACAGAAGACCTGTCTATTAAAAGCACCTGTACTAAGTTAGTCTTTCACCTAACACCATCCATACTAGGAGTTGGCAGGGAGGGCTTAAAATTAGCGCATACATGTTGTGAAATATTTTTTGTAATACACTCATTTCAACACATGCAAGAAAATCCTTTATTAATTCAAAACATCACACTGTGTTAAAAAAGCAAGCAAAGAGAAAAAGAGAGTGTATCATAGATATAAAAGGAAAAGGTTTCTGCAGTAAAATAAGGCAGCCTTCTAAAGGAAAGGGACATTTCTGGTTGGAAGCAGCTAAGAGGGCCTTCTCTGTGTGTTTTTTGTAGTTTCATTTTGGGGTTTTGGTTTGTTGAGGGTTTTTTTGGTTTTATTTGTTTGTTTTGTTTCGTTTTTGTTGGGTTTGTTTTGTTTTGTTTTTTTAAGCTAAGGAATTATGACCAAAATAAGAGACAATTCACTTGGTGATTAGTAATGAATCAGGGTAAAGGTCTTGACAGTTCCATTGAGTGCATCACATTTTAACCTTTGAACTTCAGTAACGGGGAAGCCTAGCTATCAAGTCATCAGTTTCTGATCAGCTGGTAAATTTGCTTTGTCCCTTATTTCTTTTTCTAGTCACATAGGCCTAGACTTAGGGCTTAGGATAACCAAAGATGCTTCACAGAAGGGAATACTGATGACTTACAAAACAAACCCATTTTTGATGGGGTGCATGGGACATTCCCCTGAGACTTTCTATTTTGATTGTTCAACTTCTACATGAAGTTGCTGCTGACAAGTGCTGCTTTTGTAGGTCACCTTCCATTTCAATTTTCTGGATCCTTCCCTAATACTTCCCACCAGTTTCACCTGACAAGTTTAGTGTCAAATGACTCAGTGCTGCAGCAAACATCCAAAAGAAACAAAGAGTAAGTTTATCCAAGTTTGTTTCAAATACTTACACTCTAACCAAGCAGCTTCCTTGACTACACCCCTACAGACAATAAATTATCACTTAGTCTTTATCCCTTTATCCCCCTCCTGATAACACCTGCCGCACACTTGTCACTGGGGGAAGGAAAGGAGGGCATGACACACACTGAAAATAAAATCACACCAGTATTGAAATCTCTAATTATAAATATTTGTTTAATAAGAATTCATTAGACACTGGACATACTGAATAAGCAGGCCTCTGCTCAGTTTCCTAAGACAGATTAACAGCTTAGTCCTGCATTTCAAGAATTTCAAAGTCTATTACCTTTGATACCTGAAAAGCAAAATCAAGTATCTTTAGAATCACTTTTAAGCCACAAAATTCAAAAGCAAAGTCACCTTTGCTATAGTTAAAATTCTAAAAAAAAAACAAAACAAAAAAAACACACAAGTTTGTAGGTGTACCTGATGATGCTGAATGTTCTTTATATTACAAGAAAACTCATGGTACAGTTGGAATTTATCGATATCTTTTTCGTTTCCACTTTTGGACGACACTTTTGCCAAGGCTGACTGGAGACAAATGTACCTTTGCTGACATCTGAATGAAAGAAATAAATGTTAGTAAGGTATTTTAGCGTGAAGCTTGTAACAAGTCATTACTGCTTGCGTTAAATAAAAATGAATTTTGGAGTCTGCCCAATTACAAGTTACATTAACTCCAATTACCTGCAGAACTGTATTATGTACCTTAATGCTGAGACTGACATAACACATACTGACTGGAACATACCAAGGGAATAAATTCAAGTAGACCTCAGAAAAAGCTGAACACAGCCCTTCTCCCGAAGGGAACAGATAATCAAAAGCCACCATCTGCATTTCAGTTTGCTCAGTCATTGATTCAACTTCACACAACAGGTTTTGTGAAGTTACAAAAAATTATAGCAGTTATCTATTCTATAGAAATGCAACATCTCTCTTGAATCTACCCAGCCTCAGAATCAATTTCTTGCTTTAAGCACGTAACACCTATAAAACTTCTCATTATTTTTAGGAGTAACAGGGATCCCAAACAGAAATGTTCCTGAATGCTCCTCATGTTTATTATACAAACAACACACTTTAGATCAACAGGATATATCTGTAGAGCACTGTGTATCCAATTAAGGAGCTTCTAGCGGTCAAAAGAATGAAAGTGATAGTCTGGTAGTAACAGCATATCCTTTACAAAACCACCCCATCACTGAAATTATCACATTGCTGCACCCTAGCCTTCTGATGAAGTTGGCCATTACTCACAATAAAAAGCAAACTAGTGTCAACTGAATGGAACTGAGCAGATTCAAACCAACACTGAAAGTTCCTATGAAGATATCTGTTCTTTGATAACCCTGTTCTGTCCCACATGGTACACAGCAGAAGAAAAAATAACAAGTAACTATTACTCTGTCACATCAACCTCCTCGACATGACAAAAAACCTTGAAGTCATTAGGTAATGTAAGAAACCTTAAAGTCAGCTAACACAGTCAAAGGATTAGTAACTCTTGCTTTAAAAACAGTTACATTTGCTTACCTGATTGACTTCCAATGCCAAAAATCTACCATCACTGCATGTTAATTTCACTGACTGGTGTCAAGCAGTAAATATTGGAGCAATTACAAGTCAATAATAAATATTGGATGCACCTCTGGAAAGTCATAGCTTGAAGGAAGTGCAAAGAGAGAAAACTTTCCCTTGCAGATGACTAACTGCAAAGGGAGACATCCTATCTGGAACAGTCTTTGGGAGTCACAGTGTCATGCCATGCTGGAGATTTATCCTCCACTGATAGAGAGGCAGAAAGGCTAAGGAATGTCTCCAGCACAAGTGAAGCAATGGACCGAATGCTATCTCTTCGTAACACTGTTTTCACATCATTAAAATAATGAATTACTGTAATGGGTTTGTGTGGCAAGGTTTTGGTACCGGGGGAGCTACAGGGGTGGCTTCTGTGAGAAGCTGCTAGAAGCTTGCCCTGTGTCCAACAGCACCAGTGTCAGTCAGCTCCAAGACAGACCTGTTGGTGACCAAGGCCAAGCCCATCAGTGAGGGTGCTAGCGCCTCTGGGATAACGTATTTAAGAAGAGGTAAAAGTTGCTGCACAACAGCAACTGCAGCCAGAGAGAGGAGTGAGAATATGAGGGAGAAAGAACTCTGCGAACACCCAGATCAGTGAGGAAGGAGGGGCAGGAGGTGCTCCAGGCACTGGAGCAGAGATTCCCCTGCAGCCCATGGTGAAGACCATGGTGAGGCTGGCTGAAGCCTGCAGCCCACAGAGCTCCACGCTGGAACAGATCTCCACCTGCAGCCCGGGGAGGACCCCAAGCCGGAGCAGGTGGATGCCCAAAGGACACTGTGACCCCATGGGAAGCCACGCCAGAGCAGGCTCCTGGCAGGACCTGTGGAGCCGTGCAGAGAGGAGCCCACGCTGGAGCAGGTTTGCTGGCAGGACCTGTAATCCCGGGGGGGACCTACACTGGAGCAGCCTGTTCCTGAAGGACTGGACCCTGTGGTAGGGACCCAGGCTGGAGCAGGGGAAGACCTGTAGCCTGTGGGAAGGACTCATGTTGTAGAAGCTCATGGACGACTGTCTCCCGTGGGAGAGACCCCACGCTGGAGGGGAAGAGTGTGAGGAGTCCTCCCCTGAGGAGGAAGGAGCAGCAGAGACAATGTGTGAAGAACTGACCGCAACTCTGTTCCCCGTCCCCCTGCGCTGCTCGGTGGAAGGAGGTAGAGAAAATTAGGAGTCAAGTTGAACCCAGGAAGAAGGGACAGGTGAGGGGAAGGTGTTTTAAGATTTGGTTTTATTTCTCATTATCCTACCCTGATTTGGTTGGCAATAAAGTAAAATTTATTTTCCCCAAGTCGAGTCTGTTTTGCCTGTGACAGTAATTAGTGAGTGATCTCCCTGTCCTTAACTAAACCCAGGAGCCTTTCGTTGTATTTTCTCTAACCTGTCCAGCTGAGGGGGGGAGGGGGTGGGGGGTGATAAAACCAGTTTGGTGGGCACCTGGCATCCAGAGTCAACCCACTACAATTACACACCTGCATGCTAGGAGACTGAATCTTACCATGTAACCAGGAAAATTTAGAAAATAAAAAAAAATCCAACTTACAATTTCCTGATAAAATCCAGTGTATCTTTATCTTTAGCGAAAATGTCGGCTAAAATATGCTGTACTCCAGCCTCTACTTCCTGCATAGTTGAAAGTCCTTAGAAGAAAAAACAGTTAATAAATTTAAAAAAAACTAATATGAAAAATCACTTTACACAACTGCATAAGCACTAATAAAGTATACACAAGCTGAAAGAAAGTTGATGCAAGATATCCAACTGATTTGCAGAGTTTTCAATGAAGAACCTTAGTTCATTAGAATTTTTTTTAACTAAACATCCTTTCCAAAACATCTGAAACAATTTTTAGTGAGCCTGAAGTGACCAATGCAGTATCATAAATCAAAGCGACATTGAAAAGAGAAAAATAATAGTTTTGGGACTTTGATACTAGCACATCTTGACATTTATGATGCAAAGTAATTCTTTACAACAATAAAATTGGGTATTTAAGTATAATTTTTGAGGTTGTAATAACAGGAGTAATCACAGCACAAGTTTACATGTTTTGCCACTGATATAGAAACCACCTAAAATCTTTGCAAGCAATCCTGTCCTTTCTCTGTGTAATAGTTTTATATTTCCACTGGTTTGTAGCAGGAGTTTGCACAGTGACACTTCTGAGGTCAGGGTACCCTCATCCTCTCCCACAAAAACACTATTCAAACAGTGAAGTTAAAAAACGTCTCCATAGACAAGATTTTTCTAGAGACCTGATAAGCAGAATCATTCAACTTTCCAACACACAGAACCATCCCTCGCTTCAAAAGGCCGCAAAAGGTGTCACTGTATTCTCCTTAGCACAGTGGTTGAATTGGACCAGAACCAGAAGGTAATGAAACAAAACTGACATCTTGTATTTTAAAATCAATATATCCAACCGTCTTTCTAGCAACGGTCAGTAACAAATGCTTCAAAGCAAAAAAGCAAGAATATTAGAGTTGGCAGATGCAGGATTAACTGTCTCCTTCAATACACATTATTTTTCATTCTGCTGTCTAATAGACTACCAATATCTTAAAAGAGCTTTATTAACACCACTTTAAAAAACTGCCTAGCTCTAATAACTTATTTTTATTGAATCTAGAACCCTGCTTGTGATTGCACTATAGAGTTACACACTATAAAAAAAAAGAAGCTTGCCCTTTTTTTAAAAAGGGGAAGCTAAGCTTACCTGCCAGAAAGAAGAATAAGTGTGAGAAAAAGAGTGTGTTATTAAATGCCTGGATTAATTGGAAGTTGGGGAATTTGGTTCTTTACATCTATAAGTTAGTGTTTTGTATGGCAAAAGTAATGTAACATCAGAATACAAATCTAAAGGAATTATAAAAAACATGCATTATATTGAATATGAATGAGACACTGAAGTACCAGAAGTGTACATGGCAACATTGTTTTAATTCTAGCAGAGAATTTGAATGAGATAGAACAGACCAAAACCAATCAGGATTAAAGAAATAATCAAAAAGTTCCCGTTTGACAAGCACCACTCATATGGGCATTAACTGCACCCATCGCAAAAACAGTACATCCTTGTTTCATTAAAGAAATATTGGACCATGCATACAACTACAAGGAAGAACAAAGTTTTCTGGTGAGCCTACTTCCGTAACTTTCAAATATCTGGCTTTGAAACATGAACTGCTGTTTTTACTTCAGTTTATTTTTAGTACAAGTTAAAAACCACTGAGAATTTAAAATAACCGAGTATTAAGATTTGATGATAACTTCTCTGCACAGCAAATGGCTCATCCCTTCAACAGAAATTCACTCTGATCTCAAACTGTATATAGGTTGTCAACTTGGCTCCCAAGTTGGTAAAAGTGACCCAGTTCATATATGTATCTAGTTTCTGATATGCCTTTCAAACAATAACCATTATATAAACCTAAGCAACATTATTTTTAGCACAAAATGGAAAATAGGTGTACCGATTCCAAAAATTGAAGCATTTATGCTGCAATAAATAGCATTCCTTCTGAAAGCACCCTATGTTATTTATTTTAACTTTCACCGTAAAGATTTTCATTTGGCTCTTTAGACTCTGCCAGAATAGTCAGATACGTGGTTGCAGTATATTGCTGTATGAAATAATGGCATATGCTAAAATGCAGTAATTAAACAGTCAGAATATTTGGTAACTGATTTTTGATGCAAAGTTGGGATTATTTTATAAACAATATTTAAATAAAATAAGAACAGAAGTGGGAAGAGTAAGAGTTGGTCTCACCAGTAGGTTCAGCACTTTTACATTAAAATTCAAAAAATAAATGTTGGGACACAGAAGAAAAGCACTTCTCTATTTTATCACCATAGAGAAGGCTGCACAATCTTTGCATTTTATTGTCAGAGATTGCCCCCTACAGACTCACCTATAACTGCATTCACAAAGAAACACAATTCTGCAGTCTGTGTGTGACAATCATCTCGTTAAAGCTCCTACTCACATTTCAGGGATTACGTGTTCTCCAACCCCTACTGTCATTCAATAGCAAAAACTCTCCCGCTTACTCCCAGTCACCAAGGCCAGTTTTTATTAAGATATGCTTTGACGCGTGACATTCACTTGAGCAAAAAGTATGGGCATAAGCCCCTTGTACAATCAGCACTGAACCTTCAGTAAACAATTCAAGTAAGAGTAGAACCATGGAGTGGTTGCAGGTGTGCGGTGCAGCTCCGTCTCTCTTACCAGTAAATACAGATGTCAACTATACTCTAACATCTCCAGACTTCCAGCTCCTGGAAGACCAGAATGACTGCGATTTACAGCACAAAAAGACAGCAAAGGTTTGGAAGCCATGGCATTAAGTTTAAAATCTACCACATGCTGTTAAAAGAGCTGTGGAATTTGAAATAGTTGCATAATGCAGCATCGAAACAGTTAAAGTAACTCCCCTTTTCAAACATTTTCAAGCATTCAATCAGACATTATTGCTCACAGAAGCACATTGCTTACCTTTAGTATTAGGTCTAATGTAAGAAAAGAGATTGAGTTCCATAGGATTCTGCAGAAGGGAGAGCGCAGCAGGTTCTAAGCCCAGCTGCTTAGCCCTCTGGGCTTTGGTGCCTTTACTCCCAGTTTTATAAGGTGCAGACTTAAGACAAACAAAAAAATACAGTTATTAAAAAGCAAGGAAAAGTTTCAGTCACGCTATGTACTTTGCATTATGCACCATTTAGTTACGCAAGATTACATTTAAACTAAGGATGGTCCAAGAAAGATTAGTATACTGACCACATGGTCTAATTCTTCCAAAGTTCTGCAATTTAATAATGCTGTTAAAAGGCATCCAGATAACTTCCCTTCTTTCTTCAACTTCTGTATCATTGTATGCGTCTTCTTTGCAACAGTACTAAAACGCAAGAGATTGATGTTAACAGTCACATTTCATGGTGAATTAAACAGGCTATTGATTGTGACCTTATTTATTACACTGCTGAAGCTCTCAAATCTCTGAAGATTGTATCTCATGCTGCTCCTCAATAAAACAAGTATAACAATCCAAGAGAGTTTCTAACTATTACTCCTTCTCCAATTAGTTCAAAACTGAATCAAAGCATCTTGTAGTAGCTTTGGGTAAAATCATCAAACAATACTGATGGTCATTACTGCTATATATGTTGTTGCAAGATTACTGGCCTGGAAGCCAAATAGAAGGGTCCTAAGTTAAACCCATGTTGATAAGTACTTACAGTTCTAAGTCATATCAAGACAGTTCTTGCAATATCAAGTACAGGGTACCAGACTTCAAACTCTTAGACCTTCCGTAAGATACCTGTGATACCGCATACCACAGGCAGCAAAGGTATTTTGTTACGATTTAAATTACTTGTTCAGACAAGAAGTACCTCAGGCCACCTTCTGTCTTTGGAAAGAACCTCTTGCTAGGGGATAGCCAGAGAGTACAAAGGGGAAGACACCATGTTGACAGAACAGCTGGCAAGTTTGTGCCCTTGTCATCTCAAGAACCTACAGCCACCCAAAAGCAAGGAGCAGCGAGAGCAGTCTCATTCACCCCTGCAGTGGGCTTTGCGGCAATGGTCCATGATGGCTTAGCCTGCCCTCTTGATGCACTACAACCTCCAGAAGTGCTCTTCACTAGAGGCTTCACTGTTCCAAGTGGAGAGCCAAGGGATTCTTGGTGATTCTTTTTCTTAGTGCACAGCTTACATCTAATTGGGCTAGGTATCTCCAGGACCTGTAAGCTACTAAAATTGCAGAAAGATTAAGATCTTAATTTTTCTTTGGCAATTAATAATGCTACATTTGTTGTTACTTAGAGTAAAAAGTAAACGGGCATCAAGCATAGTTACCTCACTTTTGAACCCTCTTCTTGGGGAATTCCTTTATAATTGCAGTATGTACAAAATAGCAAAGCAGGGACACAGAAGCAGCAGCCAGTTGTTACGTACCCTCCCCACCAGATACCACCCTGTATGAACTTAAGTACCGTAGCTCTTCCAATGTTTGCTGCACTTCTCTCAAGGCATCAGCTTCCAGATTATTGATGAGTTCTTTCCGATACCGAGCAATAAAAGGAATTGTGTTTTCTTCTTGAAAGAGGCGAATTAAGTTTGAACATACCCATGGTTCAACATTTGTTATTTCTGACAAGGCCTGTCAGAAGGAAAACAAAACAAAAAAACATTTAAAAGAGGTGACAGATTGCTTCAAAGAGCCTCTCACTCAAAGATCAAAACCACCCCTAGAGTATTATACTGGCCAGCAGGGACTACTGTCCTCCACAAGACAGGATGCCAGGCTTCCCATGCATCCAGCCATCACACCCAGTACTTCAGAAAGACATGCAGCAACCAATGCTTCCAGAAACTTTTAACTACATAAAAAAAAAATCAGGAAGGAATGCCTCTTGGGAACAGAAAAAAACCCAAGCAATTAAAACAATGAATCAGAAAGACAACAAACTGCACATGGCAACTCAGAAAACTTGGAGCTTTTTTTTTTTTTTTTTAAACCAACACTGACATAGCTCATGGTTAAACAAAACAAAGAAAACTCACAAACCCAAACCTGATGCAAATCCCACTGCACCAATAACTGGAAACCAGCATGATATTAGTAAATATTTCAAGATAAACCAAGCCTCACAAAGTTAAACATGATTTTGCACAAATTGGACTTTCTAAAGATAAAGTTATAGTGTATCTATATGGGATCCTGGACAAACAGTGTAAGTACCTTAGCTTAGTAACATTTTACCTAACACAGTTTTTGTTCTTTGCTACAGTTATTTCCATAAATGGCTGATATAAGCCTTTCAAAGGTTTTACTCTGAAGCCTAAGAATATAACAAGTCCTGCACAATCATATTCGCTGCTTCTAGAGCAGCAATACATAAAGACCAAATTCTCCAGCTGCATTTCCAGGAAAATTTTAGAAGATTTGGGAACAAAATCTAATACCTTTCTTAAGCAAGCAGTACTAAGGATGATTAATAGGATGTACCCAATCTATTCCCGTTCTGTTCATATTGAAGTCTTCCATAACGATACCCAGCCTCCCAGAGCAGGAGCTATGCTAAAACTGCCTTCATCTGAACAGTTTCAAAGTTAACATCCTGCAAAAACAAAGATGATGTCTCCCTTGATGTCACTGTTGTTCCAAGAATGCAATATCCTCCTTGATGGTACTGTAAATTAATATACACTCTCAAATAGTCTCTACAACAAAATGATCCACACCAAATCTCAAATTCTGAAACTATGCACACAGACATCTCAAATCTTTCAGCATCCCTTCCTGTAGGAGTTTCAGTTGACTATATCCACAAAAAACTCCCATGTGCTGAGACTGAAGAAATGTGCAAAGTGCTACAGGCTAGCTTTATACTAGGGACTGCCTAAGTCACAGATATTTGAATAATGTTAAAATTTGAACTTTTAAGAGCTACCAACAAACATTTATATTTATACATGTATTATGACAATTTAAGCAGAGGTTAAACAACTACTTAACAGTACAATGACTCTCTGACACTCCAACTGATGCCAAGAGGACTCAAATTGTACATTAGATTCCAAGGGCTAATTATGTAGGAAATGGTTTCATTGACACCTCTGAAAAGGAAAAAATGTCATACCTGTACAATATCCCAGTTCATTTCAAACTCTTCTTTTACTTTGTTGCCTCCTAGATTTTTTACTGGCTTTCCTTCAGGACATGTAGTCGACTTAATCTTTTTAAAAGGTGGTTCATTGAATGCAAAATCCTCCTCAGATTTCTCATGTTTCACTTCATTTCCCACTACAGGAACACTTGTTGAGGGTTCTTCATCACTCTCTAAACTCTTCACGTTTTTGCCTTGGAATGAATTTATTTCCATTTTTTCTGGCCCTTCTGGCTTTCGATTTGAAGTTTTTGGCTTAGTGCCTACATATTCTTCCTTAGGTTTTAGAAGTTGCATTCTGTTATCTTCTGCAGGAGCAATTGGCAATGATACATCCTGCCAAAAAGGCATTAAAACCATATTAAGCATCAACTGTTACAAACCGGTTCAACATTTATATTAAAACCTAGGAAGACTTGATATCAGACATAATTTTCCCAAGTGATATCTCTGTCTGGCAAGGAAATGCCAAGTCAGAAATCAAGTAACCTGAAATATATCTTCCATGGAGGAAAAGATACAAATATACCCAGCGGAACTGTGATTTAAAAGATCAAATAAAATTATCCTGGAAAGACTTTAATTGAGCTCTCCTTCAGAAGACAGACCTACAGTCCTTGCCTCCACTCAACAAAACAGCAGGGCAGGGAAGCACTCTTCTAATAAGGTGTTAGGTGCAGCATGGGAACTGGAGCCGTGATTTGGCCTGCTAAGATGCTGTTTAACTTTGGACAAGACACACCTTCTTTCCTGAATTTCCCCTGAGATCATCTTCAGAATCCACGAACGTATTTCTCAATATGCCACACACGTCAAAACATTCAGAAAAATTAGTATGAACTAGAAGGACTGGCTTCTGTCATGACCCAACCTCTGATGTTACTCTTTGACAGAAGTACGTAACTTCCAATAGAAGTGCATCTTATATTCATCATAATAAAACTGCAATCCTTACTGGGTTGAACAGCCATGCAAAGAAACATAAGTACAGGCCTTCTTTTTGTTGTGGTACCCAGCTGGTGAAAAGGTACAAGACATCAAAGGTACAACACAGAATTAGAGTGTTTAGTTTTCATTAGAGAAAGAAAACCAGATATATTTATTCATTTTTGTTGAAAGATTTCCAGGGAAAACCAAGTCCCATTATCATTGGCCATAATGTTAAAGGAGGGCCCTTAGATCTGGGACGCTTAAATACCTAAGAAAGCCACGTTTATCAAGCATACTGAATATTCACAGTAGCAGTTGAATCAGATGAGCTGATCAGTCTCAGGCAACCAAATGAACCAGAGCTGGAAAAATTCTCATCACATTGCTTGCCAACCACAGTAATTAAATGTCTTTTGCTTACAGATACTCACCATTTCCTCTTTTATTGCTGCCTTCTTGACCTTTTTCCTGGCCACAGCTGACCGTGGAACAGCAGCTTTTTTAGGTTTTGCCTCATTTTTCTTTGGCAACCGAGGTTTCTTGGTGATTTTGCGTTTTGGCTGCCACTCCTCCTCTTCCTGCTCTGATTCAGAGCTCCTGAAAAACAAATAAGTGAACAATATTGCTTACAGGAAGAATAAAAATAATAGGCAAGCCAGTCTTTTCTGACACACAAGCAAGACAGTGTTTTCTGACATGAAAGGAAGTGAACAGGAAAAAAGTGGGCAGACTCAACAAATACAGGTCTTTCGTGCTGCTGCAGAGCTAATGGCTGGAATGATTTACCAAACTTACCTGAAGCTGGTCACTGGGATGTATACACACCCCATGGACTAGCAATTCAGTTTCACTCTATCTTCACTGTGAGCATGAAACAGCATAAGTAATTTGTGTTTTATAACTGAAGTTTTGTGCATTAATCAACCTCACAGAAACTGAGTGTTGATCTTATGCAATCGCTCAGGCTTAGCATAAACCTTGAAAAAAATCCTAAGGAAAAAAGTAATCTTACGAATTAAGAAATGAAGGTAGTTCATCATCTTCTGATGGAAGGGCTTTGGCTTCCAATTTCACCCTCCTTGGTAGGGATGACATCTGAAACAGAGACAAGAAGAGAGAAACAGAACATTTGGCTGCAGCTGTATTCTCTTATTCAGTCCTTTACCTCACTACCAAGTATGCTCTTATAATGCCTTCACCAATCACAAAAGTTTCTTCTAGGAGCAAGTTTGGATTTCTTAGTATCCAAGAATTTCGGCCACAGAAGCACACATTCAACTATCTTTTCAACTGAGCAAACAGACAAACCAGTAATATAGCCTCTCAGATCATTTTTCTCTTCAAATGGAGGTAATTATTTGGCTTGCATGTAAAGCTATCCTAGCAAAAAGAACACTGGTTCTCAGACGTATTATTGTGTGTCACTTAAATACTGTGCCAGTCTTTCCTCCATTAATCTAAGCATCGCAGAAAATAAAATTAACATCTAGTAAAGTGAGCTTGTATATGGTTTTGATGTGAACAAGACAAAAGGATTGTCCCTTTTGATCCAGAATTTTACCTTTAAAGACTGTCTGTTGCTTGTATGCACAATAAAAACAATGATTTTGAAAGAGCTGTTGATTAGCATATAGAAAGTACGTAAAACAATTACCAAAGGTAAAAAGAGAAGGCAGGGACTTCTTTCTGACCTGAGATTTACATCTACAATAGCTGCATTTCAGTTAACCAGTTATAGAATTTTTGGCAATGGTTGGGCCCATGTATTTCAGTAATCATATTTGGCAGTTTTAGTTAAAGAATTTTAGGTACCCTCAAAATTTTACCTGCCAGAAAATTAAAATTTAAAAAATAAACAAAATACATAGAACATTTCTGTAACTATAAAATTAATAAACATATATTACCTGTATCTGGTACAATTTCATCATTCTTCACATTCTATTCTCCAGTTTCGTACTCAAAAACTTTTTGCACCTTGACTTTTGATCCAGCCTTACCACTGCGACATGAGCCTTTAAGTCCCATGTTTGCATATACAGACTGGATACGCGTTTTGCAAAGTGCCATTTAACTCAAGGGTGAAACGCTCTTTAATCCAGCTTTATTCTGGCCTCTATTCAAGCACTAGAAGCATAACTATTGTTATAAATGGCTTTCAACAAGTTTTCCTTGTGAAGCAGTACCAGAATTTAAGGACTTTTTTCAGCACCACAACAGAAGGAAGACTATTGAAGGCCACATCAAATAGCACTAGCTATTAGCTTGCTTGCAAAACGCCTTCTTGTAGCAATTGTCATGGTCAGCAGCAGGTCAGCATTTCTGTGCCGTTCCACTGACCGACAACCCATTAAGTGGCTGGTTAGAATACACATCTACCACAGGAAAACAGAAATCTCTGCAGAACACAAAAAAATATTACTTACCGTATTAGCTTCCCAGGTGGCTCTTCACTGTCAGTTCTGAGACACCTGCAACTTCACCCACTCACTCTGCTTCTCTGTTTTCCTTTGCTCCCTATAGCTGAACAGTCATTATCGTAGTCTTGAATTAATTATCTATTTATTCCCATTACCTCAGAGGCATGAAAATAATGTTTCCACTTTATACTGTACTTTAATCTGTGAATGGGAGAAACAGAAAACACTATTCACATTTGCAACACCCAGGTTTCCAGAATTAGGTAACGCCTAAGCCAGATGGATCTCTAATCCATTGTTTACAGGCACTGGGACACTTTTCACATGGTTAGGTCTCACAGTTCTGTTTTCAAACCAGGTGTTCAGCATTATATCATTATAATCATATCATTATCTGTCACACTTCTTCAGATAATCCAAGTAGGTGGGTATTTTTTAATATTCCAGGCAATTTTGGAAGCCAGTGATCAGTTTTTAAACACTCCAGCTAGCTTTTTCATAGTTACCCATTGACTCACAGAAAGGAAGAAAAAGCCAACAACGCATGTTCTCTCACCTGAGGTCAGCATTACCCCTATGTAACACTGCTCTCTAAACGTCCCTGACAGTTTTGGACACTCAGCACATCACCATGATAGTTTTGGGGCTTACCCAAAAGCCAAGGTAAAAGGAAAGCCTCATCCAGAAGGTCTTTTTTCTGCTAATAATTCCCTTTCATCTTAAGCGGCAAAGGGCAGGGACTCAAAATATCTCAACATTTGTATTATTACATTAAGTAAGATTATGGCAAGAGTAAAGCTTACTCTATGAAGTTAATTGTACTTCCTGCCATCCAACACTAGTTACCGATTTAACTCTTCGTATCAGCGTAAGACTAGGAGATGAGCTCCTTGGTTTATGAAACCAGGCATTTTCTGCATTCTTCATGAACAGATTAGTATTTGCTCCTACATCCTTAAGTCCAAGAATTACCATATAGCAAATATGAAGTGGCATAGCAAAGCATGCAATTGACTAGAAAGCGATATGTAATAAGGCTATATCTTTATGGGACAGTTCAATGTGTTTTTTTTCTTTTGATTTTTTGGATTTTCCACTTCAAAAAATAATTAGATCATTTTTTAAGTGTTTGTTCAGTCCTTCAGAAAGCTGTAGAAGTATCAAAAACATTTGATCCAGAAGTTCAAAGAAGGTAAGACCAGCACAGAATCTGTCCTCTGTCCCATGCATCAATATTGTGTCAGTTCTTACAAGCACTTAGTGAGTTGGGACTGGCCTCAGATACATCAACTCCAACTTCAATTATACTACTAAATTTTCTTGAAAAGAGTGGTAGCCTAAAGGCACTGCACTTAAAGTTAATTTGAACTAATGTAAGATGTGAATTTTAAGTACAAAACTTATTTCAGAATAACTCTCCATGAACAGACAAGCCATGGTCAGAAGCCAAAATGGAGTTCTACAGCTCAAAATAAAAGCCCAATACCAAAGAGCATCTGTGAGATGAATATCAAACATGGGGTATCACAAAGGGGAAAAAAAAAGTCACGATATTTCACTGTGAGGTGGTGCCAAGTCATAACCCCCTCCCCTTCTAATAACGTATATATCGAACCAACTGTACTTCACATTTGTAGAAAAAGAATCTTGCAGTTGTTACATACATTCTTTTTGTTTACAAAGAATCATCTTCTTTATTCGAATCCTCAAAAGTACTACTGATTTGATTCCAAATTGCCAGACAGCTGCCTGCTAAATTTTCCTCCTGAGCTGCCTGCACTAGGGTGTGCTAACACCTACAGTTAATGACTAAGAAAAACAGTCCTTCTGTGATTCACTGCGGAGGGGGAGGCAAGGAAGAGGATGAAAAAGCAACGAGTCTAAATGCCACTGATGATGATGATGAATAACTATTACAAACTTAAAAAAAAACGAAAACAAAACCAAACAACTTAGAGACAGTCCCTGAAGTGAGGCAGGAAGACTCAAGAAACAGGCAAACACAGTTATGCTCCACATGGGGCATCTATAATGCTGACTGCATTGACTACATACAAGGCCATCAAACAAGCTATCGCCTGCTCCGTGCTCTGCTTCTACTGGGATGTAATCCCCCATGCCTCCTGCCTCAAGCATTGAGGGAGCTTGGATGATCTTTCTATTCGCCCTCCCACAGCGTGCTGGGCTCGAGACAGCATGAAGTTGGCCACCTATCTCCTATTATATTTTCACCAGATAGACTGGCCTCAGTGGGAAAACTGCCTTAACCTCTTCATTCTCTGTCACCTCCAGGTAATGGTACACAAAGTGAGGGCTGGTTTCTACTCTGAGGAGAGAGACTATAGCTTGCATAGATCTGTGTCCCTTTCCCAAATCCAGAGAAGTCCCACAGCTGTGGAAAAGACAATTACAAAACTGAGTGCTTTGTGAAAAATGAAGAGTAATCAACTTATACTAGACACAAATCAGAGTAAACTTTTTTCCCCTCCTGTGCCTGTGTTCAGTATTGCTGTACCTTATGGCAGGCGTTTGCAGTGCCTGGATTACTGGTGTCTCCCGTACGTACCACCTGAAGGAAGTAAAACACACAGTATCCAGTGATGCGCACAAGTTATCCCTGCATAGGATTTCACTGGCTTGCCAGTTGGCATACTGAACTTCTACAGCTCTGTTCTAGCAGTTCTCCTAACACCTGAAGCCAGCAAACTGACAAGTAACATTTGCTAACACATTACTGTTTTCCTATTTTAAATATATCAGAAACTTTGCAGTCATTAAAAAAAAAAAGTTGTTCCTTGAGGAAAAGAGTTCTTAATCATCTCACCAACAGTATTTTCCTTCCATGCCAGCCACCAGAAGCTAGGAGCTAGAAACTTCAGCCTTGCCCAAATACTTCAGCTCCCAACTCCTGCTTCATTTCAGAGTGATCCACGTACTGTATTTTGCCTCTATGCAATAGGCTGAAACCTTAATGCTGAACCTTCACACTAGACCCTTCATCCCCTATTCAAGAAGATTAAACCTCCACTGCCTGTCCAACTCCCAAATGACAGCAGGCAGCATGAAACATCATTGCTTGAAACACCTGAATTCTCTTTGCTTCACACATTCAGTCATCACTAAAGCCATGCTTCTCCACAAAACTCAAAACACTTGCAGCGTGTTCTTAGAAAGTACTTCACACTTACAAAATGAAAGAGGACTTTGCAGAGCTATTATGCTGTCCAGTGAAGAAGAGCTGAAACTATTTAAATCATCGCTGTCGTAGATAAATGTATCTCCCAGGCCTACTCTCCAAATAGTTTGGCCTCAGTTTTGTTGCCAGTTCTTTTCTTCCTACCAATTCTATTCTCTGCATCCACTGCAGAGCTCCACAAGGCATTCGAGCTATCCTGACGGCTGTAAATAGCACACCTTCTCCCTGCCTGTCAGCTACTCATTAAAATAAGGCTAGTGTAGTTTGGTGCTGGGCCACGCCAGGAATAGACTGACAGGGTAGCTCTTATTGTATGCCACTGTACAGAATCTTAATATGGGTGTGCACGAAACATACAGCAAGGAAGTAAGCATCCCTCTGATCTCTCTCCCCAAATAGGAGTTCTAGGCAGCGTATAGAATATAAGCAGATTGAGGCTTTAAAGGCCTTATGTTAAAGAGCAACCCAAGTCTCATTTA